CCAGGTATAACTAGGGTGTAGACACCAAATTATCCTCTTTGAGGTAGCTTCCATATCACCCAGTAACTGGTGCACAAATCCTTCCTCGTCTTGACCTGTCAAAGTGCGCTAGCTGTGAAGCCAGAATCCTATATATGACAAGTATATCAGAGAAAACAGTACATGGAACATGAAGACCTGGCTTAATTACCTTTAGTTTGAGGCTTCCACGCGATCTAACCGGGTCACCCTATATCCTGACATTAATGGCCATAAATGAATGATAAACGGGTTTCGGATAGACACTTAACTTGAATTTGTAGACAGCGTGTTGACAAATGGTACCTTTGGTTTCCATAACACTACGTCCAAGTAAATTTAACAGGAGCCGAATTTGCTCCCGTGTGAGCCTCTGGTCTCAATATAAACAACAATGGCTGCCCTCCTTCTCCACTCTGACGCCTGGCTTACTTTGTCCAGATTTCAAAAAGTGATAGAAGGGTCACATTTACTCTACTTTAATATTGATAATTAAGTTAATTTATATAAGATGTTTTTATGATGGTAAAGTCCAAAGACTAATGTATTTAAGAACAATTCCCAGCAGAATAGCTGGTGAATTATAATAGTATGTGGTGATGATATCCCGTTTTCTTTAGACGGTAATTCCACTACAAGTTACGTTTTCTATGGGTAACTTGTTGGTAATACAGCAGAAATTATTATCTGTCTGTATGATATATTAAATGGTGTCGGATTTTCCGACACAAGTCGATGACCCGACATTGTTGCTACCGGATTGTGGCATTTTTCGGACACTGGCCGATAACCTTTGACCTAAAAACCAGCGTATTGATCAATTGTTTAGCAATGGTCTCCTCGGGGAGTTTGTGAAATGTAGCGGAAACGTAGCGTAAATGGCGCTTAAATGTAGCGGAATATGAAAGCAGCAACAACTATTTTTCCCCCCACATTCTATACAATTTAAAGTCCGAGATAAAATTCTTATGAGCGTCTGTTGAATAAAAATGTAAATAAAGATCAATGATGTCGGGACCATTATTGCTCGGGGCTTTTATTTGTGCTTTCTGGAGCTGCTTCCGGAGGCAGGTGGGGGGCGGGGGGGGGATTGTTTTGATTGCTTCCTCTTGCTTTTCTTTGTCGCATTCTTGAGTATTTTTTGTTTTGTGTTGCTACTGAATGGGGAATAGTGGTAACATTTTTTGCAACTCTTTCTCACACTCACTCATTCACCTAGCGATTATACTCACCCATGCGCTTCCATTCATTCGGGAATCCAGAGTCGACACCTCGCTTCATGCAGGTCGGCGTTCAATCCCTCGACCGTCCAAGTGGTTGGGTACCATTCCTTTCCCCCTGTCCCATCTCGAATCCTTATCCTGACCCCTTCCAAGGGCTATATCGTCGTAATGGCTTGGCGCTTTCCCCTGATAATTCCCTCCCCCCCCCTTCCCCAAGTCGGGATATTCCCTAATCTACTGACTTTACGGTCAAGCACAGAGAGAGAGAGAGAGAGAGAGAGAGAGAGAGAGAGAGAGAGAGAGAGAGAGAGAGAGAGAGAGAGAGAGAGAGAGAGAGCGAGAGAGAGAGAGAGAGAGAGAGCACACACATATAGACCCCAGGACGGAGGCTGAACTAAAGAAAGAAAGAAGATTCGACCTCGGGTCTACTACATTGCCAGGTCTGTTGAGCAGTAACCCACCGAGCCACGACACTGGGGGGGGGGGGGAAGGGGGAAATCTATCATCTCTTATATTTGAGTGGTGGGGGGGAGGGGGGGAGGAGGGGGGAGGGGGGGGGGGCGTTTTGTCCCCCTCTTCGTTATCCAATTATTGAAAAATGATAAGAGAGAGAGACCGTCCCATTCCGCGGTTTGCCGTTGAATGGGAGGCGTCGCTCGGCGTTCCGTAATGTATTGGTTTAGCTGGGGAGGACATCTGAGACCCCACCCCACCCCACCCCCCACCACCACAACCACCCCCACCCCTCCCCACCACCACACACACCCCACCCCCTCCCTTTTCTAGCCTTTGTCGTCTACTATTGTCTGGTGTTTATGGGGGAGAGGGGAGGAAAGGGGGGGATTCTAGCTAAGGCCATTGAGGCAGTCGAGAAGGTGAGTGGTGGGGGGGGGGGGGCAAACTATCCTCAGACCAAGTCCATTCCATCCAGCGGTCGACCCCAAAGACGCATTCATCAATTTTCATTAATTGGAGTTGCGCTCTAGCTGTCGTGAGGTGCAGACGTGTCGCCTGGCCTCTCCGGTGGTTGGAGTGTTTGCCGTTTTCGTCGGCAAGGGGTGTGGGTGTCTCTACCCTCCCTGCTGTTCCTGGCTGGTGTGTACATGGCGCTTTTGAAATGGGTGGCCATCTTCCCCCCGTTGTGAGGGTCAACTCCGTGGGTTTGCAGTTTACTGGTTGTGCGGGATACCCTGTCGTGGAGATGGTCATGTGTAACATGCTCTGTATCCCGGTCATGGAAATCTACGGTGAGCTGGTAACTGCTCACCGTGTGGTTATCAAGTTTGTGGGAGAAGAGGTGTACCGTGACTCTCTCTGGCAGTACGAGGGACGTACCTTGCAGTTGCAGGATGGCACCGAATCTGTGTCTATTTCGGATCGTAGCGGTGCCATGACATATGTGTGTCCATGGGGCCCCCATGGAGTTTCTTGAGACCCTCCTCCGGCGTTTCTTCCAGCGGTTTGGTACCGTCGTCAGTGTGCGGTTGCACACGCTGTCTTCTGGCAAGTATGCGGGTGTGAAGACCAACATTCGTACCCTAGGGATGTGCCTGAGGTCGGACATTCCATCCTCTGTCCGGCCTTTAGGGTACTACGTATGGGTGTACTATGCACGGCAACCGCGGACGTGTTTTCGTTGTGGCCTGTTGGGCCATCAGGCTGCCGGGTGCACTGAGGCTGCGGCTGCTCCCGTGAACATGTTCAAGGAAGAGGATTTCCCGCCGCTCCCTCTGGAGGAGGACTCCGGGGGGTAAGGAGGCGAGTGTCCCGTTGGATGCTGCGGCTCCCCCTGCTTCGCCTGTCCTTCCTTCGGTTGTTGAGGACCCTCCTCTGGGTGTTGCCGTGTCGTCAGATGTTCTCCCTCATCCCGTCGCTGTCCCCGCTGCTCCCGATGGCCTTACGGGCGATCTCTGCGAGTCGTCGGCGCTCGCCTCTTCCTTGTCTTCTGCTCCTGCGCCTGGCCCCTCACCTTGTGTTCCGTCTGTGATGGGTGCTGGGGTGGCGGTGCTGCCTCCTGCTGTGTGCTGTCCGGTTCCACTTGTGGTTGAGGCTGCTGCTGTTCTGCGTCGGGCGGCGGTTCGTCCGGCTGGTGGTGCCTGTGTTTCTGGGTCCGCATCCGGCCGGAGCCCAAACGTTCCCAGCTTTCGTCTTCTGCCTAGGGCCTAGGCTGATGTTGGTGACTTCAGTGACTGTGGGTCTTCGGGTGTTGACGTGGATCCGGATGCATCGATATCTACGCAGTTAGTGGTGGCGGAGGTCCATGTGCCTGCTGGTGCTGGTGCCCGTGTCTCGGACGTGACTTCTGTTCTTTCTCCACCAGGGGACTGTCCACAGTGGGGGGGTGGTGGCTTCTGCTGCCAGGGATGGTATGGATAATGGTGCTGGGCGTGGCCTGGTGGTGACCTTACAGAAGGATGCGCGCCGTCCGGGTTACCTGCCGTTGTCTGGCGGTGTGCCCCTGGCCGCGGGTGCCCCAGTAATGGTGCCCTCTGTCAAGTTCACTCCTGTGAGGATGCACGTTGGGCCCCCTGGAGGACGTGTTGTCGGCGTCTGTGATGCCACCGGGTCACTGGATGACGATTGCCGAGTTACTGCTGTCTGACAAACCGGAGAACTTTCATGGTGGGCAGGTTCCCTATGTGTGGGGACGCATGGCGGCTACTCGCCTCGTCAGTACTACCATCTGGGTCCCCTGTTTGCGGGTGTTTGTTGCCAGGGTTCCGGATGTTATGGCTTCCCCGGTGGATGGCCGAGACCCTTGGCGGTGGTTGCTTTGGGAGGCGTTCCATGTGTGGTTCCCGTGGGCCCGGTTCCCGGACAAGTATGTCCACTGATGTCCTGTTTATTTGCTTTATGTAGTGCTGTGTGCCCCTCTGGCTGTTTGTTTGCCCTATTGTGTTATGAGCTCGTGCCTCTCCCTTTGTTTGTTGCGAGGACGGTGGTTTGGTGTGCGTGTTCTTGTTCATGTGTTTGTTTTGTGTTGTTACTCTGCCCTGTGTGTTATTTTTCTGTCTTGCTTGTTGTATTGTTTTTCTTTTGTTTTTATTTATGGCTTGTTGTATGTTATGATTTTATTGTGGTATATTTCATGTTGTACTTCATGATGTGTTTTGTTTGTCGGTCCTTCCGGCCGGTGCTTCTGTTTATTTGTTTCATATGTTACTCTGTTTTGTTTTCTTGTCCTTATTTGCTTGAAATGTTTGCTTGTTTTATATTGTTTTCTATTTTGTGTTATGTTCTTGTCTTGATGTATGCTGTGTTTCTCTAGTTTTTATGTTTCCTATGTTGTTTTATTGTATTTATTGTATTTATTGTATTTATTGTATTTATTGTATTTAACTTGCATGCTTGCATGTCAAAATAAAAATAAAAAAATCATTAATTAAAAAAAAAAAGGAATTTTCTCACATATAAATTAGTATTATTATAAATTAACATATTGTGCATATTTATGCATTGGTTACGTTAGATTAAGTGTTTAACTTCTGTTGACGATTATTTGTATTTGTAGTACGTGGGTGAAGCATTTACAGCGTTGTGGTTCGAACAAAAGTGTCGTCAGCGAAGCACTTGTTCCGGAAGTGTTCGAACGTAATCAGTTGTGAGTCGTGTGTAAACCGTTTTTCATTCATATACATTCATAAACATTTTCATTTGGCGGATGGATGGAATGGACTATTGGGTCTTTGTTTGGAGGACGGGCTGAGAGAGGTGGAGGTGGGGGGGGGGGTGTAGCACACCTGAATCAGTCGAACTGATTCACTGAAGCAATCGAACTAATTCACTGAGCAGTCGAACTGATTCACTGAGCAGTCGAACTGATTCACTGAGCAGTCGAACTGATTCACTGAGCAGTCGAACTGATTCACTGAGAAGTCGAACTGATTCACTGAAGCAGTCGAACTGATTCACTGAGCAGTCGAACTGATTCACTGAGCAGTCGAACTGATTCACTGAGCAGTCGAACTGATTCACTGAAGCAGTCGAACTGATTCACTGAAGCAGTTGAACTGATTCCCTGAAGCAATCGAACTGAGTCACTGAGCAATCGAACTGATTCACTGAAGCAGTCGAATGGGTATACTGAGTTTGGATGGGTATAAATAGGAGCCACCTCGTATGGGCCAATAGGCGTTCTGCAGAATATGTCTAATTCCTGTGTAATTTAACCCAGCCAAATAACCAACAGCAAAAGAATTATGAGGCTCGAAACAGGAGGAATGAGGGGAACAGGAGAAGTGAGGGAACAGGAGAAGTGAGGGAACAGGAGAAGTGAGGGAACAGGAGGAGTGAGGGAACAGGGGGAGTGAGGGGAACAGGAGGAGTGAGGGGAACAGGAGGAGTGAGGGGAACAGGAGGAGTGAGGGAACAGGAGGAGTGAGGGAACAGGAGAAGTGAGAGAACAGGAGGAGTGAGGGAACAGGGGGAGTGAGGGGAACAGGAGGAGTGAGGGAACAGGAGGAGTGAGGGAACAGGAGGAGTAAGGGGACAGGAGGAGTGAGGGGACAGGAGGAGTGAGGGGACAGGAGGAGTGAGGGAAACAGGAGGAGTGAGGGAACAGGAATGAGGCGTCCTGTACAGCAGTATAGGATGATGGAGGAAGACAGATGCCAGCATCCGGATAGCAGGAATTAAGACCCCAGCGAGCAGACACAACTCCAGTGCCAAGATAACACCTTAGCAGGATAACGACCCATTCACCTAGGCTCCACAACATTCACCTGGGCTCTAGGAGACTCGAATCGCAGACCCCCACTAGCGGCGTGTGAGGTCGAAGCTCTATCTATCTCCGAGCTATTGAGACGTCTTAATAAGAAAAGTGAGGATGACAATCGTTGAGAAACTTAGACAAAAGGAACGTTTTCCAGGCCCCATGTACGTATTCTCGGCGAGATCCAGGCTTGCGTAACCTACAAGGAGCCCTCGCTTGACGAAAAGGACAAGACCTAACTAAAGAAAGTAAAATATATGGCACGAAACTAGTTCCGGAGCTGAAGGAGTTGAGCTACGAGGACAGACCTAGGGAACTGGGGGCCAGATTCACGAAGCAGTTACGCAAGTTCTTACGAACGTGTACATCTTTCCTCAATGTTTGACGGCTTTGGTTACATTTATTAAACAGTTTACAAGCATGAAAACTTCCCAATCAACTGTTGTTATTGTTATAAACAGCCTCCTGGTGCTTCGGAGCTCATTAACTGTTTAATAATTGTAAACAAAGCCGCCAAAGATTGAGAAAAGATGTACAGGTTCGTAAGTGTTTGCGTAACTTCTTCGTGAATCTAGCTCCTGGATCTTAAAACGCTGAAGGGGGAGGAGGGATAAGATTAGGACATACAATTCTAGAACAAAATAGACAAAGTAGCGGTTAGTAGGCGAGGGGGGGGGGGCAGAAAGAGCTAGGCCACACTTACTCTTCCTTCCCCTCCCTTTCCTATGTCACCCTTACCACTCCTTCCCTTTACTATTCCTCCCCCTTTCCCTCACCACCCCTTCTTTATTCCTATTCCTCTTCTCCTTCCCATTCCTATCTCTTCCACTCCTACCGTTTCCACTACTCCTTCCCTTCTACCCTTCCCACTACTCCTACCCTCCTACCTTTCCCACTACTCCTACCTTTCCCACTACTCCTTCCCTCCTACCCTTCTCACTACTCCATCCCTCCTACCCTAATCCTTCCCTTTCCCCAAACTCGTATCCGGACCAGGTCCTCGTCTCCCCTGGGCCTCCCCCCTCCCCCCTCCCCCATCCATCTTCATTTGCCGGACAAAATAGAGAAGGAAGATGAGGAGGAAGAGCGAGAGGAGGAGAAGGAAGAAGAGAAGAAAGAGATGAAAGAAGAAAAGGGGGGGAAGGGTCTGGAGGGGGGGGCGCTGCTGCAGCGACCCTCCCCCCCTCTACCCCCCCCATTCCTGACAGTCAACAACCCATCCTCCAATTTAGACAGTACTTATTGAGACGGTCGTCAATAGTCACGAATTCGTACGTTCTTAGCTTTAAGACAGTAGCATACTGACTAGTAAGGAATTCTTTTACAGATAAATGAAGCTAAAACAAAAATATTCCTAGTTGTACAGCACATATATGTACTATACTGGGCCTCAGATACCGTATATTAGGCCTAAGGAGGCTTGGATAGGTTAGTTTAGCGTGTCAAAAGCAACACAATTAAAGCAAATATATTTTAAAGGTTTGTCCAACTCAATAGTGCCGATTCCAACGCTCTGATTTCGTTGTATGTCGGTATATGTACTATGGTCCTCATCGTTACTGTAAGTACAACCACAACAGGAGGATGGGCTGGTGCTGGTAGGTGTGGCTCCTCAGCTGGTGTGGCTCCTCAGCTGGTGTGGCTCCTCAGCTGGTGTGGCTCCTCAGCTGGTGTGGCTCCTCAGCTGGTATGGCTCCGCAGCTGGTGTGGCTCCTCAGCTGGTGTGGCTCCTCAGCTGGTGTGGCTCCTCAGCTGGTGTGGCTCCTCAGCTGGTGTGTGCGCCACACCTGCAGCAGCCCGCGCCACATCATGGAGTAGAAATACAGGCGAAGGAGGGCATTCAGCTGCTCGGCAAGAGAGATAGTTAAGCTTACCTATCATACACACACACACACACACCCATCCATAGTGAGTATTCATTCACAGTGTGTATTCATTCACAGTGTGTATTCATTCACAGTGTGTATTCATTCACAGTGTGTATTCATTCACAGTGTGTATTCATTCACAGTGTGTATTCATTCACAGTGTGTATTCATTCATAAGCGTGTATTCATTCACAGTGTGTATTCATTCATAGTGTGTATTCATTCATAAGCGTGTATTCATTCACAGTGTATATTCATTGACAGCGTGTATTCATTCACAGCGTGTATTTATTCATAGTGTGTATTCATTCATAAGCGTGTATTCATTCACAGCGTGTATTCATTCATAGAGAGTATTCATTCATTCAGCAAGGCCGTCAGCCCGCCTGTTCTCAGAACTCCTCCACAATATCTCACACTTCTAAAAACAAATAAAAAAATGGTATAACGCCAAGAAAGACATCTTCTGAGAATTGCTGAGAGCAGGACAAGTCGTCGTCTGGGAAGATGTCTTGGACAGTCTGAGAGAAGTTGTTTCTACAGTACCTCCTTCCTCATTACCTGTGTCTCCTCGTCTTGTTCCCGTTCCTCACTACCCTTCACTCCCTTCCCCTTACCCCCCTTACCTCACTAGTCCCTACCACCTCCATCACCCCCTACCCCTCCCCTATACCACCCCCATCACCCCCTACCCCTCCCCTACCACCTCCATCACCCCTACCCCTCCCCTACCACCCCCATCCCCCCCTACCCCTCCCCTATACCACCCCCATCACCCCTTACCCCTCCTCTGCCACCCCCATCACCCCCTACCCCTCCCCTATCACCCCCTACCCCTCTCCTACCACCCCCATCACCCCCTACCCCTCCCCTACCACCTCCATCACCTTCCTACCCCTTCCCTGCCACCTCCATCACCCCCCCTACCCCTCCCCTACCACCTCCACCACCCCCTACCCCTCCCCTATACCACCCCCATCACCCCCTACCCCTCCCCTATCACCCCCTACCCCTCTCCTACCACCCCCATCACCCCACCCCCTACCCCTCCCCTACCACCTACATCACCCCCCTACCCCTCCCCTACCACCCCCATCACCCCCTCCCCCTCCCCTATCACCCCCTACCCCTCTCCTACCACCCCCATCACCCCACTACCCCTCCCCTACCACCCCCATCACCCCCCTACCCCTCCCCTACCACCTCCATCACCCCCCAACCTCTCCCCTATACCACCCCCATAACCCCCTACCCCTCACTTACCACCCCTACCACCCCTACCCCTCCCCTACCACCCTTATCACCCCCTACCCCCCTCCCCTACCACCCCCATCACCCCCTATACCACCCTTATCACCCCCTACTCCTCCCCTACCACCCCTACTCCTCCCCTACCACCCCTACTCCTCCCCTACCACCTCCATCACCCCCTACCCCTCCCGTACCACCCCCCTACAACCCCCCCCACACCACCACCACCACCCTACCCCTCCCCTACCACCTCCACCACCCCCCTACCCCTCCCCTACCACCTCCACCACCCCCCTACCCCTCCCCTACCACCCCCATCACCCCCCTACCCCTCCCCTACCACCTCCATCACCCCCAACCCCTCCCCTATACCCCCCCTATCACCCCCTACCCCTCCCTTACCACCCCCCATCATCTCCTACCCCTCCCCTACCACCTCCTACCCTCCCCTACCACCTCCACCACCCCCCTACCCCTCCCCTACCACCCCCATCACCCCCCTACCCCTCCCCTACCACCTCCATCACCCCCAACCCCTCCCCTATACCACCCCCATCACCCCCCTACCCCTCCCTTACCACCCCCATCATCCCCTACCCCTCCCCTACCACCCCCTACCCTCCCCTACCACCTCCACCTCCCCCCTACCCCTCCCCTATACCACCCCCATCACCCCCTACCCCTACCTTACCTACCACCCCCCTACACCTTCCCCCCACCCCCCACACACCACCACCCAACCCTATCAACACAACATTAATCTGCGTGTTGACAGGTGGCTCCATCTATCCAGTAATGAGTTTGGGAATTAACTGGATATTTTCCCCCCCTGAAGCGTCACGTGGATATAATCGTTCGCGATAATCCTTAATGCTCGTATCCCGGGCATCCGGCATGTGATATCCGGATTGATGCTCTTTGGTGTATTGGGGGGATTGGAAGGGGGATTGGAAGGGGGGATTGGGCAGGGATGGGAGGGTGGATTAGAGGAAGGAGTGGTGAATGAGGGTTTGATACGATTTAGGATTAGATATGGGAGTTAGGTTATATATATATATATATATATATATATATATATATATATATATATATATATATATATATATATATATATATATATATATATATATATATATATTTTTTTTTTTTTTTTTATTTATTCTTGCCTTGCTTGCTTGTCCTGTGTACTCACCTAGTTGTGCTTGCGGGGGTTGTGCTTCGGCTCTTTGGTCCCGCCTCTCAACTGGTGTACAGGTTCCTGAGCCTATTTGGGGTCAATCAATGTGTAGGTATAATAGGGTGAAACCACCAAGACCAGCATAACTTACTTAGAACTTAGAACTTAGCTAACATAGAGCTTATCGAAGCTGCACAAAGCTTTGAACAAAAACAATTGTCGAACTAGGAAGCTTAATTGCTAGCTAGATATAGCGACCTAACGAGGTCACTGGCCGCCTGACTATAGCTTTCTTGCTATCTAGGTAGGATAGCAGACACGATGACCACAATCTTGGCGTCAAGGCCACCCATGACTGCCTGATTAATGGTCGTAATCTTAGCGATGGTCTGGGAGGCCGCCAGCAACCACCCGCATCTGTCACCGCTGCTCTGGGCCATCTCTGGGGGTGTGGGGGGGGGGGGGTGACCACCTCTGGGGAGTGTTGTGGGGGGAGGACCACCTCTGGGGGTGTAGTGTGTGGGGGGGCCATCTCTGGGGGTGTAGTGTGTGGGGGGGCCATCTCTGGGGGTGTAGTGTGTGGGGGGGGGCCACCTCTGGGGTGTAGTGTGTGGGGGGGCCACCTCTGGGAGTGTAGTGTGGGGGGGGGAGAGCAGGATCCTGGGTAAAAACTGGTTTGACTTAAGTTTGTTTTTGTTCACGGAACAAATTACCGGGTATTATAATACACGCGGGATCACTGGATTGTTTCAAGCGTAGGTTACACACATATATAAATGAATCTGAATGATATAAACATATATATAGGAGCTAACCCGTTTGGGCACATCATTTTTTTTTTTTTGCAGTTTCGCATATCATGGTGGTTTCCGGATACCACGTATCCTCTCACCCTCGTTCATCCGGACACAACCGGACTGGTATAATGACCTAGCGGAAGTGGTACCGGCCGGCCGGTCGGCCCACCCTCCCTGCTAACTGAATTATACGAACCTAGATAATAAATATCACTTTATGAATACCATCACCCCCCCTCCCTCCCCCCATGAGCGATCCATCGTGGATAAACTACCCCCAGAGACTAACTGCAGGCGAGCCAGGCCTATAATTACCGTAGTGTGATTACCTCGTGAGACTACTTGGGTAACGAACCCGCCTCGTGGTTCGCTATTTTCGGTAACACGTCTGAAACCGACTTCACAAGAGAAGGGAAGGGGGGATTTAGCGGTTTGGGGGGGGGGGGTTGGGTCTCGGGGGGGTTATGGGTTCGGGGGGGGGGTGTGGGCTCCGGGGGGAAGGGAGGAGGGGTCGAAAGCGCACCGTAAGCCACCGCAATCACGACCTCCTTATCCGGACAAAGAGGGCACGGTTAAGTGCGATAAATCCGAGGTAAACTTGCAAGGGCCTTGTTACCGCTTGTTAGTGAGGAGGATTGACGAGGCCGTTCGCTATGAACTACGGTCGTGTTTGTGTGGTCCGGGAGGTTCGCGCGGCAGTAATTACAACCGGAGAAAGCATTTCCGACCTTGCCCTTAGAAACTTGTCAAAGAATGGAGTGTAGACACTAAAGAAACACCTGTTTAGTTCTCTTTCCTGTTTCCCCTTTAATCTTTGTTAGTTTTGCTTTAGTTTATTCTTTATTCTCGTTCTTCTTTATCTATGTTTACTCTTCACGAATGACCTGTTCAGTTTTTATTGAGTTTAATGATTTAAATGTTTAAAGATGAAGACTTCTGCTATGAATTCTTGGAGCAGTTGTTCTGTACTTTGGCCTTCGGGCTGTAGCCAGTCGGTGTGTACTCCAGGTGTACTATAGGTGTACTCTAGGTGTACTCCAGGTGTACTATAGGTAAACTCCAGGTGTACTCAAGGTGTACAGCTCCCTATGTGTATAACCACGTCAACTGGCTCAAAAACTGTCTTTATCTCTCTCCCCATTTCCGGGTTCAACATTTCTAGTCAGACAATCGTTTTAATCCGTACTGCTATATTCAATCCGGATGTTTCACACGAACATCCCTCCCCCCCTTTGTTCAAGCTGTAGGCTTCCGGATCCGACCATCCCTCGTATCCGGCCACTTTTCTTCCTTTCCCACGATCTAAAATACTCATCCGGCTTGTATTAATTACCCCCCCCCCCCGTATTCGGATAACTTTAAATATACTTACTCGTGTATCCGACTCTCTGCCGCACACTAAACGTCGTATCCGGCTGTATTTTTTTGAAATTAAACACGTTTCCGATACCTCTTTATCGAATCCGGCTTCTATGTATTAGCTCAAGAATCCGGCCACCTCGTGTATCCGGCCGTTTTCATGCGGCCGGATGTACATGAAGCTATAACACGGTCCCGGTTAATCGGCGGTTTAGCTGGAGTTCGTCTACTGTTTAATCAAGGCTGATGTTGTGATTGTTGCAGTGACTGTTGCAGTGACTGTTGCAGTGACTGCTGCAGTGACTGCTGCAGTGACTGTTGCAGTGACTGTTGCAGTGACTGCTGCAGTGACTGTTGCAGTGACTGTTGCAGTGACTGCTGCAGTGACTGTTGCAGTGACTGCTGTAGTGACTGCTGTAGTGACTGTTGCAGTGACTGTTGCAGTGACTGCTGCAGTGACTGTTGCAGTGACTGTTGCAGTGACTGCTGCAGTGACTGTTGCAGTGACTGTTGTAGTGACTGATGCAGTGACTGCTGCAGTGACTGTTGCAGTGACTGCTGCAGTGACTGCTGCAGTGACTGTTGCAGTGACTGCTGCAGTGACTGCTGCAGTGACTGTTGCAGTGACTGTTGTAGTGACAGCTGCAGTGACTGCTGCAGTGACTGCTGCAGTGACTGTTGCGGTGACTGCTGTAGTGACTGCTACAGTGACTGTTGCAGTGACTGTTGTAGTGACTGATGCAGTGACTGCTGCAGTGACTGCTGCAGTGACTGTTGCAGTGACTGCTGCAGTGACTGTTGTAGTGACTGCTGCAGTGACTGTTGTAGTGACTGTTGCAGTGACTGTTGCAGTGACTGTTGCAGTGACTGTTGCAGTGACTGCTGCAGTGACTGTTGCAGTGACTGTTGCAGTGACTGCTGCAGTGACTGCTGCAGTGAGTGTTGCAGTGACTGCTGCAGTGACTGTTGCAGTGACTGCTGCAGTGACTGCTGCAGTGACTGTTGCAGTGACTGCTGCAGTGACTGCTGCAGTGACTGTTGCAGTGACTGTTGTAGTGACAGCTGCAGTGACTGCTGCAGTGACTGCTGCAGTGACTGCTGCAGTGACTGTTGCGGTGACTGCTGTAGTGACTGCTACAGTGACTGTTGCAGTGACTGTTGTAGTGACTGATGCAGTGACTGCTGCAGTGACTGCTGCAGTGACTGTTGCAGTGACTGCTGCAGTGACTGTTGTAGTGACTGCTGCAGTGACTGTTGTAGTGACTGTTGCAGTGACTGTTGCAGTGACTGTTGCAGTGACTGTTGCAGTGACTGCTGCAGTGACTGTTGCAGTGACTGTTGCAGTGACTGCTGCAGTGACTGCTGCAGTGAGTGTTGCAGTGACTGCTGCAGTGACTGTTGCAGTGACTGCTGCAGTGACTGTTGTAGTGACTGCTGCAGTGACTGCAGCAGTCACTGCATCAGTTACTGCTCTTAAGTCTGGTTGTAGTTGTTGACCTTTTTTAAACGATATAAATTAACAGTTGCGTAAAATACACCACCTTGTGATAGTTCCGGGGATCACTCTCCCACCGGCCCGGGGTCTCTGACCAGGTCTGTTTCACAACATAAAAAAATGCTTAAGAATTTGCTTCTGACAAGGAGGCAACCCGGCCTCTTATCAACTCCAAAATCGACGTCATTCAAAATGAACTCGGCTCACGAAAGTGACGAGGTCCACCTACTCTGAGTCTGTGAGGAGAACTGAGGCTGCTGGGAGCATGGCTGATGCTCCTCTGTCTGGCATGACGTCAGAGGCCTACTTGCCTGTGATTGGTTATATTCCAACTGACATAGAATTTGAGTATAACACTGTCCCGTTTTCTGTTTTGGGTCCTCTGGCTTAGTCTGAATTAGGTTAGGAGAGGAAACTTTCAATTAACGGTTTTCATTAAGTTTTGAAACCTTCTTGCTCTCCTAAATCTACCAGAGGACGGTTAATTTGCTGTTTTGAAAAACATATTTTAAAAATTTATTTCCAATTATTTTTTATTTTCAAATTAGGGGCTTTTTTTGCCGTAGCGCCTTCGAGTGAACAGCGACGTAATTTATAAGAGGACAGGTTGATTCTGGAAAGTGGAAGTGGCAGCGGTGTTTGGCCACGAGTCCAAATTGTCTTGGAATGGGATTAATATCTGGAATTGGAATCTGACGTCAGTTTCCGGTTAATTTGAAGAGAAGAATGGGCAAGAATGGATAAGGATTGGAAGAGTAAAGAGCAAACGCACGCTCCCACACACACACACACACACACACACACACACAAAGACAAACTCTTCAGCACGGGTGGGACACGAACAAGGGGACACAGGTGGAAACTTAGTACCCAGATGAGCCACAGAGACGTTAGAAAGATTTTTTTCAGTGTCAGAGTAGTTAATTAATGGAATGCATTAGGCAGTGATGTGGTGGAGGCTGACTCCATACACAGTTTCAATTGTAGATATGATAGAGCCCAGTAGGCTCAGGAATCTGTACACCAGTTGATTGACAGTTGAGAGGCGAAAGAGACAAAGCTCAACCCCCGCAAGCACAATTAGGTGAGTACAATTAGGCGAGTACACACACAAAACAGAGTGGTTGACGGTTGGAACAAGTTAGGGGAGAAGGTGGTGGAGGCCAAAACCGTCAGTAGTTTCAAAGCGTTATATGACAAAGAGTGCTGGGAAGACGGGACACCTCGAGCGTACCTCTCATCCTGTAACTACACTTAGGTAATTACACACACACACGCGGTAATGGAAACAATCTTAAGACACTAGCGGAGCACCTTCTTGCCAAGTAATTATTCTCTGAAGGCGCCGAGTCAGCAGAAAATTAGCCAAAGAAAGTGTTATCAAGTCACAAGAAGGTGAACTGCTAAGAATTCAATCATTTCTTTCTATCCTTCCATCTATCGGTCAGAAGAACGACGGCATCGCTTGTCAATGGGTTGGCGTTCCAGCCCTGATGATCCAAGTGGTTGTGGGTCATCCACTTCATCCTCCTATTCCTTGCAAGTTGTATATGATCCTAATGGCTTATCTCTTTCTCTATCCCCCCCTCCCATCTTCCCCTTCCTCAATGTTTCTCCATTTTTCCCACTCTCCCTTTTCTCACATATTCTCTTACTTAATTTCACTCTCACCCCCTCCCCCTCTCTCTCTCTTCACTCCAATATATGTTCCCTCTCATTCTCTCTTCTATTATCTTTACCCTTCCATCTCCTTTCCTTTCTAATTGTCCACTTTGTATTCTAATCACAATCGAGTACGTCTTAGTCGACTCCGGCGCCACGCCCCCCAATCCTCGAATCCCTAATATTAACAAACCGCTGAGAATCACACAGTCATCTCACCTACTTCTCACCAGAAAACCCCCAAAAATATATAAACTTTCGTAAATCCGGATTAGCGAGCGTTGCTCCAGTGTTTTGGAGACATGCGACTGCACACTCGCTGACAGGGATCCGGATTCTCCCTCACGCGAACGGAAATACATAACTCTAGTGTGATCGTTGAAGCTTCCGTTTTTGTATACTGGTCTTAGCGTATAATTATCCCCCCCCCCCCAGAGAGCTTACGTTGTATGTCTGTGTGAATAATACTCAGTTATTTTGAGTGAATGTCTTCGTTAAAATCATTATACATGTCAAATATAAATATCATTCGATGCTCTGGTGTAAATCACCCAATACCCCGTGTGTATATCAGCCAATGACCGTATATAAATCTATCTAAATACACATAAATATCCTTCAGCAGGTGTGTAAGTGTTCATGCGGGAGGGGGGGAGAGAGAGAGAGGGAGAGAGAGAGAGAGGGAGAGAGAGAGAGAGAGAGAGAGAGAGAGAGAGAGAGAGAGAGAGAGAGAGAGAGAGAGAGAGAGAGAGAGAGAGAGAGAGAGAGAGAGAGAGAGAGAGAGAGAGAGAGAGAGAGAGAGAGACAGACAGAGAGAGAGAGACAGACAGAGAGACAGAGAGACAGACAGACAGACAGACAGAGAGACAGACAGACAGACAGACAGACAGACAGACAGACAGAGAGACAGACAGACAGACAGACAGACAGACAGACAGACAGACAGACAGACAGACAGACAGACAGACAGACAGACAGACACACACACAGACACACACACAGACACACACAGAGAGAGAGAGAGACCGACAGACAGACAGACAGACAGACAGACAGACAGACAGACAGACAGACACACAGACACACACACAGAGAGAGAGAGACCGACAGACAGAGACCGACCGACCAATACGGGCTTCGTATACCCCCTTGACGCCCTGCAGGGGACACGAACCTCGTTCTCGGCACCTCCGTCCCTGTCGAACCAGGGACGAGGTGAGAGCAGCTCCAGACACGACTGCGGGTCCTAATTACACCTGTACTGGTTCTTCCACACACCTGACTAATGCCTCTCCTTTTCTGCGAATCCGGTTCGTGCACCGACCCCCTATTTATGAGTCGCCAGAGAGGGAGAGTTGCTGCAACATGGACTCGTTATAACGGCGCCTCTATAACAGCGGTTCCTTGAAACGGCGTATCTTACCGATAGCACGATCATCTAACGATAACACGATTATCTTACGATAACAATTATCTGACGATAACACGATTATCTGACGATAACACGATTATCTTACGATAACACGAAATGGTCAAATTAGGCGACGCCTGCGGGGTTCGTCCCCCTCTATCTCCCCCCCCCCCCCTCCACCGGTCATTCACAACCTGTAATGGTCCTGAAAGTTGATGAAACTTTATAAATAACGAGTAGCCTTTCGTGACTCTATACATTACACGACTAACTGATTAGCAAAGTTCGTAATAATAAGTGAAATATATACCCGTCTGTTAGAGCGAATACCCGTGAACGTGACGAAGGGGAAAGGGGAGCAGAGAGAGGGGAAGGGGGAAGGAAAAGGGGGAGGAAAGGGGGGGTGGAATGATTATATATATACCTTCCAGCAAATTCCTGGCATTAATCACCATTGATCAAGGCGACGCACGGTGTATATAGAGCGCCACACACCTGGCTCCAGTCACATGTGCGTCTGTTGCAGGTGAAAAAGTGTATAACCAATGGAGCCTGCTGCGCCCCCCCCCCATGCAATCTACTTACCATGCAACCTGCATCCATTGCAATTTGCACTCGTGTAATTTTCTCGCACGTAATCTTCACGTATATTATATATATATATATATATATATATATATATATATATATATATATATATATATATATATATATATATATATATATACCCCGTGCAACCTTGACCTCGACCTTATATATATATATATATATATATATATATATATATATATATATATATATATATATATATATATATATATATATATATATATATAACTGAAAACTCACACCCCAGAAGTGACTCGAACCCATACTCCCACAACTGGTATGTACAGGGACGCCTTAATCCGCTTGACCATCACGACCGGACATAAGGAAGTGATAGCCGAGGCTATATGAACCACTTCCCCGCCGGCACTCGGATGGTAATCTTGGGCATAGCATTTTATCAAATCACCTCATTCTTTGGGGCACCCATTCTTTGGGTGATTTGATAAAATGCTATGCCCAAGATTACCATCCGAGTGCCGGCGGGGAAGTGGTTCATATAGCCTCGGCTATCACTTCCTTATGTCCGGTCGTGATGGTCAAGCGGATTAAGGCGTCCCTGTACATACCAGTTGTGGGAGTATGGGTTCGAGTCACTTCTGGGGTGTGAGTTTTCAGTTGTATATAGTCCTGGGGACCATTCAGGCTTGTTTGCATATATATATATATATATATATATATATATATATATATATATATATATATATATATATATATATATATATATACCCCGTGCAACCTTGACCTCGACCTAAAATGGTCAAAGTCAGTCTCAATTGAGGTCAGTCAAGGTCAAACATTTTGTCTTCAAAATGCAAAACAAAACAGATCGTTAAAAAAAATTTACAAACACAAGCATCACAAACAAAAACACCACCACCACCGCACCTGGCAAAGAACTAAACATCAGACTAAAACAAATACAGGAATACACCGAGCAAATAAAACTCTCCAAACGACAAACATGTAACAAAAAAAACTGACCCGAGAATGAGGTTTCCTTTTTATCCAGCGCGTCAATAAGTCCAAGAATGATAAATAATAGACAACATATTGCTATTCAAGTAAAAGGTGTCTACACGATGCGTGTCGGCGGTAATTCACCTTGCATGACAGCCCACGGACGCGTGTGGTCGACACCTTGTCACCTTTGCGCCAGCAACTGGCAGACAGACCGACATTTGTCCTCTTGCAGAGAACGTTGCATTTCGCTCGTATATGCGGGGTATACAAGGCCAAAAATGATCGTGGTAGAAAATGAAAGCGGCTGGCGGAAGTGACGTACTGGTCCCGTTTTCTGTTTTGGGTCCTCTGGTAGGTTAGGAGAGGACAGTTTAAATTGACCGTTTTCCTGACGTTTGGGAAACCTTAAAGGAGGACGGGGCTGGACAGACACCGCGGCCCGTACCATGAAAACAAGACGGTGTGTACCGTAATCAACTCTCACAAAGTCTAGGATTAAAAAAGTTAACACAACAACACACACAGATCACACTAACGTGATGCATCAAATGAACAAATCCACAAGGGCCGTGACGAGGATTCGAACCTGAGGCAGTGTCTGGGATGCTCCCGGACGCAGGTTCGAATCCTCGTCACGGCCCTTGTAGATTTGTTCATTTGACACAACAAATTATTACCTTATAATGGATAATAGGGTAATAATCCGTTGTTTAAGTGGGTGTATTACCACACACACACACACACACACACACACACACACACACACACACACACACACACACACACACAGTGGCAACAAACATTCTTACCCAACAAATGCACAGCATTGTAAACGAGAAAATTATAACAAACAAACCAGAGGAAAAGCACAGCCTGAAGTGGGAAGACAATAGTTAATGAAACCCTCCTCTTAGTGGTTCAAGAGATGGTGGTAGAACACGTATACTGCCCTGGTCTAGTCCAAATAATCAATAGCATCAAAGTCAGTGTAACATTAAGGTGTATTTGGCTAGCAATCCTTACACTCAATAGTATCTTGATTCACAAATAAGAAGACAAAAACAGACCCCCACTTGGAAAATCACAAAAAATATATATGTGATTAACATCAAATTACAAAAATCTGGACATAGATCATCATTCAACATGTAAAAAAAAAAAATTACAAAAATCTGGACATAGATCATCATTCAACATGTAAAAAAAAAAAATTACAAAAATCTGGACATAGATCATCATTCAACATGTAAAAAAAAAAAAAAAAATTACAAAATTACAAAAATCTGGACATAGGTCATCATTCAACATGTAAAAAAAAAAAAAGACGAAATATCCAAAATATCACACGCACAAAAGCACTTAAGCGCTCTACAAAAATTGCAAGAGACACACACACACAAAAAGAGAGAGCAGAAGACAGCTTGACACACGCAATACTCCCACACAACATGAAAACAACACATCATCACACGCAACATGCACACTTACCTCATGCAACTTTACCTTCACATGCAACGAAGCATCAAATCACAGCATTTAAATCGATTTATTAACTTCATACAAATCATTTTTTTTTATTTCATTAAAAACAAACAAGTCAATATACGTAGTGTACAACGTTTTTTTCCCCTAAAGTCGACGTTTTTTTCCCCTAAAGTCGACTACGAATTCATGTACCTGAACAACCCGTCCTCGACTCAAGTCCATTACATCCAGCGGTCAACCCCACAGACGCATTCATAAATGTTTACATGCTGTTCATTCAAAACGGGAATTTTCTCAAATATAAATTAATATTAAAATATATTAGCATATTGTGCATATATAGACATAGGTTAGGTTAGGTGTTTAGGTTCTGTTGGCGATTATTTGTATTTGTAGTACGTCAGTAAAGCATTTACAGCGTTGTGGTTCGAACAAAACTTGTCAGTGAAGCACTTGTTCCGGAAGTGTTCGAACGAAATCAGTTGTGAGTCGTATGTAAACCGTTTTTCATTCATAAACAGGGGGTTTGGCGGGTGGATGGAATCACTTTTGGGTCTTTGTTTAGAGGACGGGCTGCCAATGGATACCTTGTTAGAACGACGTGACTTGAAGCTTCGTAAATACATACGAGGCTTCATATAGAAACCCCCGACACCCAAACAGCCTCTCCCCCGACATCCACCCCCCCTCCCCCCCACCTGCATTCTGATCTCTTAACAGGAATGTGATTGATGTGTTTCCTTTCAGTGTCGTGGAGGTGGGGGGGGGGGGGGGGCAGGGCGATTGTATTTAGAAAGGTGGTTGTGTGGGGGAAATAAAAATGGTGTGGGAAGGGGTTTGTTGTGGGGGAAGTTTTGAGTTTATGTGGGATGCCTAAGCAATGGGGGTGGGAGAGATGGGGGTTGTTGTGGAGGGGCCAGGTAATTATGGGGCAATCAAGGAGTTTACAGTGGGAGGGAGGAAAGGGTGTTTGTGGGAGTAATGGGGGGGGGGGGGAAATAAGGTTTATAGGTTAGAGAGAAGATTTGAAAGATTTGTTTTTAAGAATATCCCTGCGCGGGCCCTAAGCCTCTGGCTGGCCCTCTGTAGAGGAGATAATTATGTTAATGACATTAACCACAACAAATTAATAAAAGGGCAAAAAACGACAAAGCCGAGATTCTCGAAAGCGTAATTATATGACTATCAATCTTAAACCCATTCATCCTGTATATATCATATATATACCTGTATATACCTGTACAGGATGAATGGATTTCATTCTGTACAAATAATCAATTCAACAGGTTTGCAAACTGGAACAGACGGCGGAATGCAGCAGACACAATGAAAATATGTATAACTGATCTATGTGTATGTATGGCAAAGGAAATATGTATAACTGATAACTTTGAACCTTTTCAAAGTTATCGGGTATCTTTATGAGTGGTGAAGATGCCTTTATGATATTCAGTAGCATGGATTCTCTACAAATATTTCTCTCACAGTTAAGTTCACCCATGGGACAGTTTTATTGTTTGATATACATATATACAGCAGCTGTATTATCAATGTATTCGAGAACGAGTCGGTGATTATATTAAGCGCCAAGCGTCAACATTTTGCTCGTCGCAAGTCTCATTATATTTGGTTAGTTTAATATGATAGCATTATAGATTATTTTAACTAGAACGTGGAGTTTAGAATACATTAGGTTAGATACGATGAGGGGATAGGACACGATATTATATAAAAGCGGTGTTTTAAATACAAATTTGGCGAAACAGTTTGTAACGTTAGGCCAGGCCGAGAGAGTTTTCTTTCAACTCCTGAAAAGAAACGCGAAATGTTTCCTCGAAATTAAACCATTCAGTGCTGACAAAATAAAATAAAGAAAACCGGGAAGTCATTTACCGTTCACTGGCAGAGGCGAATGGTTGTCGGGAACATGTTTGCTAAAGCAGAGCCGGATATCTACGACCGGCCAAGTGTGGCTTCAAAAGTATGGCCAGCCGCCTCATCTTCCAGTGTCCGAGTAATGTCTCTTTCTCAATAAACACAAAACGTACTTAACCTCACTCTTTAACAAGACTTGCACAAATGCTCCTTGTCACTATTTATCACAAACAAAGCAAAGGGACACCGTAAATAAGCCGCGGTCAGGTGATATAAACAACATTCACACGCCGTCCGTCAAGCCTAAAGTCCCAGAGGTAAACACAGCCGGCAGAATGGCGTGTTTATCGTGACGTCACAGTAATCTTCTTTTTATTCCAGTTATTTGACGTCTAATATTACCGAATTTGACTTATATAAATATTTATCATAGCTTTATTATTAATATAATAATTTCAAAAGGCTATGTTACACTACCACTGACAAATTACAGCATATCCAAATTCCTTAAAAACGTTTCCTGTAGCTGATTTTTTTTTTTAACGTTTACATAAGCTGTTTGTGTTTAAATAAAACATATCTTGATGTGGAAATTATATGAAGCATTTACTTTCTTTAAAGAGGATGAGGTACCCACACAAAAGTTTGTGTGGCTTTTATGTTTTACCATA